CTAGGGTTGGTTTTTGTTAACGCTTCTAGAAATAAGGCATTTATTGTGGAAGTTGACATTACAAATATCCTATATAAATCGATTTGTAGGGATAATTGGTAATTAACATGGTATGCCCCTAGAAATCATTTACCAATAGCTAAAACATAGTGATAAAGATAATTTTTTAATCATAGGATGAGCCCATTAGCTAAGCACAACAGTATTACCAACCACCATGAAAAATCTATTTTAAGGGGCAGTTCATTAACTGGGCTCCTCTCCAACCTTTTACAGGGGACCAGTAAAATTACAACCATGTTTGAAGAAACGTGGTGCGCCTTTAAATTCGTTTAGTAGTAGTGTTTGCATGGGAGCAAGGCGATACTAGATCCACAAATGTCTGAAATAAGCCATACAATTTCATTAAAATTGTACTGATATCTAGTTTGAAACAGAGAACTATCCTTACTTTTGACACAATACTCATATATTAAGTTTTGTTACATAGGGGAAATGATTCTATTAAATCATGAGAACAATTACATCTTTGTTTATATCTAACTCTCTGGACAATAAGAGTGACACACATGGGTAAATCCAGAGTTACATAATGACATTCTTCACCTCCAATCTATATCCTTGATATCCTTGACGATTGTTAGTTATTCTGATATGTCAAAACTCAGAGACGCCAGGTTTCATGCCTAGATATATATTTGCACGGAAATTCTCTTTGCACGTAAATTCTCTATCTATATACCTAATAATAAAGAGGCAAAATTTCTTCCCATTTTTTTTTGGGTATGGCATCTCCTAACTAACTTCATGAATGTGAAAACTGACTCTATTATCGTCTACCACCTCCTATTTTATATGATATATGTCGGGCTTGATAAATAACCTAGATAGCTAAGAATCCTAATCCAAATAGATTCTTCGGATTCTAAGTAACTAAATAGGAATCCTACTCAAAATACAAAAATATATAAGAATAAGAGGCAAAATTTCTTCCCATTTTTTGGTATGGCCTCTCCTAACTAACTCCGTGAATGTGAAAATTGACTCTATTATGCGTCTACCACCCTCCTATTTTATATAATATATGTTGGCCTTGATAAATAACCTAGATAGCTAAGAATCATAATCCTAATTCAAATAGATTCTTCGGATTCTAAGTACCTAAATAGGAATCCTACTCAAAACACAGGAAAGATAAGAATAAAAATTAGACAAATTTGGATGTACCTATATCTATTTCTACTACTCCATCCGTCCCGAAATAAGTGATGTTTTGGGTTTGTCCTAAGTCAAACTATTTCAAATTTGACCAAATTTATACAAAAAAAGTGCTAATGTTTAGGATACCAAATAAGTATTATTAGATTTATCATGAAATGTATTTTCATATTCTACCTATTCGGTGTCATAAATATTGATATTCTTTCCAATAAATTTGGTCAAACTTGAAATTGTTTGACTTATGACAAACATAAAACATCACTTATTTTGAGACAGAGGGAGTACCATTCAAGTCGCTTTTTTTTTCCTTTTCTGTTTTCCGTCGGTGTCCGTTTTTGTTTTTCTTTCCTTCGGATGGCCACTCAACCTTTTTTTCCTTTTTTGCTTTCAGTCCGTCCCAATTTTCCTTTTTTTATATCTTTTCTGGTATTTTCTGATTTTCTTATAAAAGATAAAGAAAATATATCTAATCTATCTATGTCCACTTCTAGAAGTTTGTTTAGAATGATTCTCACATGTTAATAAATTAAAATAGAGTTCTAACTCAATTCGGTCACGTTAGCTCACGTAAATGCAGGTCATAGCAGCTTATGCCAAAACAGTCGACATTTCCCCGATGCCAAAAAAATCACCCGTACATCCATTGCGGTGTTTTTTTACTTTTTCTTGTAAAAATCAAAATAAACAACAAATACAATTTTAAGGGTCTTTGAACCATTGACATTTTTCTATGAAACAAAGATTTTCACCAAAAGTTGTTGATGTAGTTTTTATTAGAAATCAAAATTATTCTTATTAAAATCTAGATTAGCAAATGGTCCAACTAATCAATGTGTGAACTAAAATCTTTTAAGTAGTTTGTTGCCTAATTCGGTCTAAAAAATATCAATGGACACATCAATTGTTGACACGTCAACAACTAACTACTTGTCGACTTTAATTAAATATTAAAACTATAGATTTTTATAGGTCCTCACGATATTTAATCATTAAAACACATGAATGGTATGAAAATTAAAGTTAATAAGTTACGATAAGACATATAAATATTTCCGTGCCTTGCATTGGAAATAAAACAAATCTATCAAGATTGTACTTTAATTGGATACATGTTAATAGGATATTGATGTATCGTTACCAACATTAACTTATATTATTATATATGTCGGTTCATTTTTTCATATATATATTATAGTTTTTTCTCCTGATATATAACGCATGGGCATGTTTTGCTAGTAAGAAAAAAGGCCCAACAAGGGATCAACGAAGCCAATGCCATTGAGTAGCCCGAGACAAATTTATTCAATCTAAATCTTATGATGATTAGACTGGATGAAGGAGAGTCCCCGTTCCTGTTCACCACCGACGAGGCTGGCCACATGAGGAGAAGGGGACCAGCAGTGATGGTGCAGAGGAGCCTAAGACTTCAGCATGCAATAGGAGGAGACGCTGGTGGCTCTACGTATTCAATAATAATATATATACAATCATATATGTTAATTTAACGCTAACTGGAAAAGATTAACATGGCAGCGACAACAATGAAACGTCACAAAATCCAAAACATGCAGTTGGTCTTTGCTTAGACCTCAATTCTCCTGTAACATAACAGCCAAATATTCCAGTTTTCCACCGCACCTGCCTGCACCCACGTTCACCACGGCCCGGCTTAGAAAGCGAGGCGACGGACGAGGGATCCCACCGGCCACGTGAGTGCGAGCTGGCGGCCCGCGGCCGTGTCAGGCGTCATGTGAGGGGCAGGGTCGCCGCGGACGTGACCCGTCCGCGCGCGGTACGGGTGGCGGTGGAGTCGTGGGCTTCACTGCACCGGAGCCTGGAGGTCAATGCAACGCAAAGCGTCAGGCGTGGCGCCGCCCGCTCGGCTTCGTCTCCGGCTCCACGCCTGCTCTGTGTGCGCACGTGTACGTGCGGGGCGAGCGCGACGAAGCCCACGCCGCGATTCATCGCGCGGCGCCTGCTACGTGCTACCTGGCTCCGCCCCGTCTGCCACGCCGCGTCGCGCTAGAGCAGTAGCGTGTGCAGGCGCGACGCTTTCGCGTCCGAATCATCCTAGCTACTAGTACTACTACAATGATTGTGAGAACGAAACCAGCGGACTATGTGCGTACATGTCGAGTAGCAGGGGTGACGAATGCTCGAGAAAATGTTGGAGGCTCTGACGAGTGATGATAAGCAATAATAATGCTTCTTTTAGCGCCGTCGTGCTGATTTCCTTCGAATTTTCGGTGAGAGCAGGTACACAACGGGTAATGCACTTCGATGTCTTTCAGCGAGTGAGTGCTATGTTTCCTCGCGGAGGGTGACACTGACACAGCACACAGTTTGTTGACAAAAAAAGAAAAAAAAGCTGGGGCTGGGGGTTTGGTCACGGTGCTCCGAACTTCGCTTCACGATCTCGATCCCGATCCCGATCCGACACGAAGCTCTGGCTCTCCGGTTGACGCTAGCTTTTCTCCCGACGCGATCGATCAAAGAGCGCTTTCGCGTCTGAAAACGAACGAAGCGCACCGCACCGCACCGCAGAGATTTCGAGCAAATTAGGCGGTATACGTGCTATGCGCCGAACTTGCTTTCCGCCGGACTGGATTGCCTGCCCAAAATCAGCAGTAGTCGCGTGCAACGACTGGATGCACGCTTAGTATACGCGTACCATCTCTCAGGCTACATGTAGTGCGTGCGGTTCGGAGCTGCAATTCCAAGTCATGAAAACATAACGTAAAAAGAAAGTCCTATCAGCAAAGGAAGTGATATGGGAGATTCTGAAACTCACTCAAAATATTCAGTCCCAAGTAGCTATCTTGCTGTACCTGTGGTGGTCAGAGCGGTGTGGTATACGTGAAGGGGAATTATATTACCAAGAAGTACAACAAGCTTAGCGCTTTTGATCAAAACTTATGCTGATGAAACATCAACACTGAAACAGCCGGTGGTGCCACCCCCTCGATTAAAGGCGAGATGGAGAAAACCACCTCAGGATGTGGCGAAAATAAATTGTGATGGGGCTTTCATGCAGGAAGAACGATCGGGAGGCTGGGGCTTTGTCATTCGCAGCTCTGAAGGGGAGGTCATCTCTACAGGTTTCGGTAATTTGAAAAGAGTGCTGGAACCCTTCCATGCGGAGATCATTGCTTGTTTACAGGCGGTGCATAGAGCAGCTGATCTTGGTCTACAAAACGTCATTCTGGAAACGGATGCATTGATGGTAATCCAGGCAGCTCTGTCTTCTATTTGATGATCGAAGCTCGGCTAGTGGTTTGGTGTGGGAGCTAAAAGCATTGTTGCGCTGTAATTTCAGTTCTTGGGTAGTAGCTCATAATCCAAGGTCCTGTAATCTAGTTGCTCATGGTTTGGCGGCTTTAGGTTACAAGTTGAGTCCGGATACTGCTGTCTTTGATAGTATCCCAATGTGTATCTATGAACTGTTGGCCAATGATTTGGCCCCAGTTATTGAGTAATGGATTTTCCATGTTTCAAAAAAAAATCGACTTTCATTTCTTTTTTATTCGGGGAATCATATTCTACAAGTGGCTTTTGTATATATATAAAAAACGCTGTACATGAACCGTAAAAGGATGAATGTGCTGTTCATTCCGGCCTTCATACTGATGCCCAGCCCATACGGCCCAAGTGCACAAGCAGCACATCCCATCCATTGGACGACCCAACAAAACTGGCAGACATCCGGCCCACGCAGCAACCCGTTATCGACAAGCACATCTCTCTTCTTCCCCGGAACCGACCGGAGCGCTGCATCCTCCATGGCTCCTCCGCCGCGGCGAAACCCGCAGCAAAACCCCACCCGGAGGAAGGTACGCGCGCACGCACCACCCAACGGGCCCCGTCCTCGCCGTCAGTTCCGGAACCCTAACTCTCTCGTCTACTCCCTGTCGCAGGGCGAGGAGCCGTGGCTCGCCGCGAGCCTGCGCCCGGCGAACTTCCTCCCGGGCCTCGCCATCGGGTTCCTCCTCGGCCTCCTCCTCGACCTGTCCTCGTCGTGGAGACCCAAGTCCAGCTCCCCGCCGGCTCCGGCCGCGGCACCCGCGCGGGGCTCCAGCTCCAAGCGGGCGTCGGGGAGTTCGTTTGCCTCAGGCGGCGAGGAGCTTAAGATGGTAAGTTGCGCTGCGAGTGTACCCCCTTGAGTATACGTGACGGGAGCTCTTCGTTGCTGCAGCTACTTGTACCGCCTACATCTGATTGATTTGGCTCCTAAAACTGAAACATCACCATTTGCCTTGCGCTTTATCGCTTCCGATACAATTCCATTGCGAGGATTTACGACGCTGGTCGTCTGAATTTTGTTTCAAGTATTGCTGCTTTGTTTGAACTTCACACAACTCTAGAGTTGAGCTCTCATTAATGACAATGCGATGTGCAGGTTTTAGTGGTACGCCAGGACCTCAAGATGGGGGCTGGGAAAATAGCTTCTCAATGTGCCCGTAAGTTCATCTCCAAGTGGACGCATGCTGTTTATTTGGTGCACCTCTTTTTCTTTGCATTATCCATAGGTTTTTGTACTTCGCTAAAAAAAATGTATAACCTATGTGATTGCCTAATCTGCAACCGCCAAATCTTAGCCAGAGCAGCACTGAACTTTTGCTATATGTACTGAACTTTTGAGCCAACTTACACCTCATTTGTTGCTAATCTCTTGCAGATGCAGCGACTGGCTTGTACGCCGAGTTGTTTTCAAGGTGTTAATGCGGTTTGCACTGTTTCTTCATTAGGTAGTTTTAGTTGGAGGATGCCTGATGTATATTTTTCTCTTCATAGGCATAAATATTCCTTTATAATGTTACTGTACAGTATGTAGGCTTGAATTTGCGTAGATACAGATGCTGGCACTCATTGATTGATTTTGAAAAGCTTTGATTGAATAAATGCTGTTCTACTCATCAAAATAATGTCGAGTATATTTCTGCATGGGTACTGGGACCTTTCTTTATTGGATTGAAGGCTCACATATTGTTGTAAAAAAAAAAGGCTCACAAACCATTTTATCTTGTCTGAGTAGCTGCTGAGTTTTAACTACTGGACACTGCAGCATTGTCTTGTCCATATGGCCTTAAGCCCTTAACACTCTCATCACCAATCTGTGGAGTCCTCGGACTCCCAGAGCTAGGGCCCCATCACCCATCTCTAGAGCTAAGGCCTTAACTATTGCACCATCCATATGTGATCTTAAATACAGTACTGACTCCTTTTCTGTTCATTATGTTGTAAATCCTCCATACAAAAAGGTAACTGTTCAAACAACTAGTGGTGTGGTGGATGTAGACTGAATTGAAATTAAATGGATGGAAAGTGCAGGCTTCAGTAATCTTATTTTCCCACCCTTACATTTTCCTGTGAAGCCTTTGCCAAAGAGCTATTTTATGTACCTTGTCGTCAGTATTTGGTGAAAACTGAGCTCCCCCAAACTCATTTGACATATCTTCTGTAGCAATCGGGGTTTACTGAGACAATGGGAACAACTTGGACAAGCTAAGATTGTTTTGACATGCAAGAATCAACAGGAAATGTTAGTCTGCTGCTCTCATAATACCTAAGTTTCCATAGAACATGTTTGCTTGGTGGTGATGTGTAAATTTGTATTTTACTTTATAAGCATGCTTGTTCCCCTGTGGTCTATTATCAGGAACAGGCTAAAGGAAACTGCAGAACATCGAGGTATTCCTACATTTATTGTTGCTGATGCAGGCCGCACAGAGGTTAGTTTCATGCTTATGCGGATCTACCTACTTTGATACGTAAAACCTAGCCCTCCTGTCAGCCTTCACAAAAATCAAGAAAACAATATCCTTCTAAATTTCAGATGGTTTAACATATCTAAGTGATTCTTAATTTGAAAATTAGTATTTGATTTATTGTAGATTGGGTAAATTTTTTTTACTAAAATGATATACTTCAACCATTAGTTCCATGCAAGGTTTTTTCATTCCAGATACTTAACTATTTTTGTGCCTATGTGCCATGTGATGAGTTTATGGTGTGCCATTTCTATCTTCTGTGCACAGGAAATGGGCTGGCACGGACATCAATATTATCAAACATTCCTACTACTATTTAGTGTTTACCCTCATCGATTTTTCCTTGTATAGGTGTTGGCTGGATCCAAAACAGTTCTTGCAATAGGACCAGGTTAGATTCTCAATCAGAAGTTCAGACTTAATTTTTTTTATCTCTGCAGCTATATTTTAAGTTGCAAGTTTGAACTGTATGTTGGAATTCATGAGTCCCATATATTTCCCTTTGTTTGTCAATGCGACAAGAGTTTTTCATGACCTGAGGATTTTCCTTGAAATTACCTTGTGCAGGTAGGAAAGCTGACATCGATTCAGTTACTGGGAAACTGCGTTTGCTGTGATCTGCATCTCGGAGATGGTCAATCAACTGTTCTTCTGATTTCTTCATATGATTGTTTTACTGTCATGCCAACATATCTGATTATTAACTGGACCTCACATGACCACTAATTTGAGAGCCCTTTCAAAAATCATAGTAGCAAAAGTACTTGATTATTTAAATCCCATCTTAATGCAGCAATCCGAATCACTTAATGTGGATAATTACTGCTAAAATGGGCTTTATGTTTTCTCTCTCTCCAGAGTATTGTCTTTCCACTTGAAGAGCCCCGCGGTCTCGTTTAGCATCAGAAACAGTTGCCTGCTCGGGTTGGTTGTAGCCGTTTGAAGGTTAACCTGACGATTATTCGTGGAAGTTCCCGTTTTTTGGTGGCCCATTTGAAATGCCATTGTCTGTAACCATGTATCCATCTTGTTGTATTTTTATGTCTGAGAAGTATTTGTAGTTTCGGATTAGGTATCATTCCACTCTAAGTAAGGGATACCTGGACCTTGTGCCAACAGGAAACTTCAAGCATGTCTTAACTCTCGTGTAGAGGGCATGGTAGCCTTTCTCGTCAAACATTCGTAGCATAATCAGTTGCATTTCTGTTGGATGTTGTGCGCGCCTTCCTAGTTCCTTCAAAACGGCAGGGCACGCAGGTTTCCTGAACTATCATGAAGTGTTCCTGCTGATTCTTTCCTCGACCGTGCGAGATTCCACGAACGGGACTCGATGTACCTTCTCAAGTTTGCATGTTGAGAAGCAAAGAACTTACTTGGATCATACGTTGCGTCGCGAAGAGTCGCATTAAGTTTGTACACACTCCGGTACTAGTTCAGAGCTTGGGAAATATGCCTTTCAAACCAATGCAAACTTTGACAAAATATGCAGAAGTTACAACAGCTAGTATGACGATACGAGTCCTGCTGCATTGAAAGTTCCGCAAGTCCAATGTGAATTCGGGCTGGCCCGTGCCAATTTCCAGCCTCGCAAGGCACGGAGCGGCCCAATAAAAGCAAAGGCATCCGCGCACCTCAACGACGCTCGTCGGCCACCTACCAACGCTCCCCGGCCTCCCCCCCGCAGGCCCCGCTTTCCACTGCAGCAGCCAGCAGGGCCAGCAGGAGGGAAAGGGCGGACCAACTCAAGCCCAAACCCTCAACCCCCAGCCGCGCCGCGCCGCCCGCCCATGGCCTCCTCCTCCCACTCCTCGCCGCCTCGCGGCGCGGCCGCAGCGCGCGGCAGGCGCCCTTCTTCCGCGACCTCGCCACCCCGATCCCGTCCCACCGCGGCGTCTCCCGCTTCGCCTCGGGGGCTTCCCCCTCCGCCACGCCGCCGCCGCCGCCCATCTTCACCCTCGACGACCGCTACGCCGCCGCGGACTTCTCCCCGGACCCCACCGCCTCCGACCTCCTCCCCGTCGCGTCCTCCCCCTCCCCCCGCGCCGCCGCCAGCCGCTCGCCGCCATGGGACCTGTCCCGGGGCAAGGTGTCGCTCGCCACCAGGATCCCCCATGGATGGGGTCGTCGAGCCGGCTCGGAAAGAGGTGCTCGCTTTGCCGCCGCCCGCGAGCCCTGGCGCCCCACCTCCTGCCACGACAGCGGAGGCGCAGTCACCGGTGTCCCCGCGCAGGCACCGGCTGGGACGGAGCCAGTGGCGAACGGAGGGGAGGTCGAACGGGAGGAGTGGGTCACTGTATTCGGGTGAGCAAATATTACTTATGCTTTGTTTTGTACTGGATTATTAGCTTATAAATGTGTTGGCAGACGCTTATGAACACGGTAGATTTGGCTAGGAGGCTATGATAAATGTTTATCATGAGTTGACACGCTCCTTGCATTTTTCTTGCTCCCTCCCTCAGTCCCTCGGCAGTTATTTGCTAACCCGAAATTGTAGGCGCCTTGTATGATAAATTGATTCAGTTCTGTTGGTGCTTTTTCTACAGATTCTCTATTGGAGATACCAACCTTGTTCTTCGGGAATTCGAGAAATGTGGAGTAATATTGAGACATCACTCTGGTCCAAGAGATGGAAATTGGATCCACATATTGTACCAGGTAATGATACATTTAACTACTGTTGTGCTTCCATTTTCTGTTCTACCATTTAAATTTAATTTCATGTACCCAGGTTTCACAGAGTAGTCATATTAGCTCAGGCTGCTCTGTAGCTTGCCAGCGAGTTTAGTTGCCAGTGAACTGAAACAACTACATAAACTGATTTGGGCTCCCCCATTAGGTTGAATAATGTTCTTGTACCGGTTTAATATAGTGTCAATTTTTAGCTGCACAATATCAACACCAAGTTTTATCCCCGTGTGTAAATGACGTGGCATATGGTTTTGGTTATCCCTTGAACCAGAAGCATATAGGTAACTTAGTCCTGGTCTCCTGGATAGGTTTTTAGCATAACATGCTCAAGGTCACAACTTTACTTATGAATTCTCTAAATTCATAAAATGATGCATTGTTATGTGTCTGCTGACGATGGGTTTACAAATATCCTTGAAAGATGCTGGAAAACATATAGAAATGTCATGTGCTTTCTGAATTCCCTTGGCACAGCCAAGTTATGAGGCTTATCCAAATAGCAACTCTTCTGAGCTCTTCTTGTCATCAGGTCTTCAGGTAGTTCTTTTGTTGGTAGTGTCAGTTTGCTTTATGTATTTTTAAAATTAAAAACGTGTATGGTGGTCACTATCAACTCTACCTTTCTAGATGTATTGTTCCTATTGTTATTTCTGATTCTCTTAATTTTGAGATGTTAGCATCTCTGTTTATTTGACAATATTGTCAGTTCTGTTCTTTACATGCATCATAGTAAATGTTTCTACATTACTAGTCCTAATACTGACAAATTTCACCATCATGTATGTGGTCCTGAAGCGCTCTTATGATGCTCAAAAGGCCCTTCAGAAAAATGGTATCCAACTAAGCAGCGGTCTGATAGTTGGAGTAAAGCCTATTGATGCAGTGCACCGGCAGCAGCTGGATGAGAGTTTCGCGCGAAGCAGTCAAGGTGGATTTATGGTTTCCTTGCCTTCAAAGTCACTTGGCTTGAAGAGCACAGGTGCATCGCACCAGTTAGGAGCCTTGCCCCGCCCGTATGACCCTAAAGCTAACACTAATGTTAGCCGAGATGCAGGCCGTCGTGCAACTGGCAGCGTTGCTGCACCAGCAAAATCAATTTTAACCAATGTGATGGATTTGATATTTGGCATCTGATATGCAATGAGGACCAATGCATCCGGGACCTTCTCTGTTTCTTCTGTTTACTTGTTCGAGAATGCCAGCATTCCAAAGATTCAGCAGCAAATTTTGCTGAAGTTTGAGAGCTTACAGAGTGAACTTTCTTTCGGTGATGTAACATTAAAATTATGCAATTTTTCACGTTTATTGTACTTATATGTTGTCTCATGGTATGTCCATATGAGGACAGTTGTATGTTAATGGCAAATGCTATAGCTCTTGTTGTGGGCGATTTTTTATATTTTTAACTCGTTCGTGTATTTTTTTCTCTCCTGTCGTTTAAGGGCATGTTTGGTAGAGATTCACCAGCTCCAGATTCACCATTTTTAGCTTCATTCCACCAAAAATTTTCCAAACACTCCAGATCCATCAAATCTGGATCCACCAAAATGGTGGATCTAGAGGCTAGATTCACCAAATTGGTGGAGCTCCTCAGGGGTGCTCCACCAACTCAAGTTTGGTGGAGTTGGAGAAAATTAACCACCAATGCCACTGGTTACATAAATAGCGTTTTGTTGTGTTTCCTTTCTTTCCTTTCTTCTTCGCGTGGCTGCACCCGATGCCAGCACCACTGGAGCCGTGCCCCATCCCCACAGGGGCTCACGCCAAACTGGAGCCCCAATCGCGCCCTCACTGATCAGGTGCCGCTCGTCATTGCACTTGCCAAGACTGCCCTCGCCCGTCCCCCTCGCACCACTGAGCCCAACTGTGCCCCCCACCAGAGCCCCAACCTAAGCAGGTGCCTCGCCCCTCACCTCCACCGGCCAAGCATGCCGGCCGTGGCCGCACCCCTTCGCCCCACACCGCTGGAGCACCGTCCACCCCGCACTGTCAATCCGCATCACCCAGCTCCGATGAGGCCACGGGGTCGCCGACCTCATGTCTGTCCGCCATGGCCACGCCATGAGGTCGCGCCGTCGCCCACCACTGCCTTACTTTGCCCATCGTGCGATGTGCTCTCTTTCGATAGGAGGATAAAGAAGAGCTTATGCGTGGGCCCAGGTTGGTAGTGAGATAAAGAGAACACTAGAGTCCAAGGGCAATTCTGGTCATTCCAATGAAAATGCCCTTGCGTGGATCTGGAGCTGCTACCTTAGCCAAACAGTTCCCTGGTAGATTTAGGCTGGATCTCAGATCCACGGTGGAGCTGATCCACGTTGAATCCCAGATCTAGATTCACTTTTTCCAGTGTTGCCTTGCTTCTGCCTCTCCCTCGGAAGATGTGCTGCTGTATTTTTCGAGAAATCATATATTGCTCTCAGGCCAATCCAAATGAAAGGTTTCATTTTTTTCCCCCAAGAGGTTCGTATCATCTAGAATGCTTTCAGTTAACGAAGGAAACACTGGTCTCAAATACTAAACAGTGTTATTTTGTGGCAAGGTTTCTTTCTCTGCTCTTTCGGTTTCCAAAAGTGCTACATCATCTCCGGTGAATTTTGAGTTAGAGTGTTTTTGAGTTAGAGTGAAGTGATCCTCCCCGGTGAATTGTGTCATTTTGTTGTTGCATGGCTTGGTAAATTGTAATGCACTTCCGGCTGAAACGATGCTAGTTTCATAAGGTTTAAAGGTCTTGGAAACATTATTACTCGCCGCATCACCTGGATGACAGTCCATTATTTTTTTTTACCTTGTTCTTTTGAACTTATCCGTCATCATGGTACAGTTTTTTTTTCTTCCAACAAAACAGTATCAGTTGGCTTATCGACCGCAAAACCATCAGCCGAATAGCTTTCTCTTTCATATATAATAGTTCGGGTTTATCCGCTCACGTTTTTTCTTTTTTGTGAAAAAGTGCGCTCATGCAGTCACGCTACTGGATTGCATTTTTCTTTTACCGTTTTTTACACCAAAGGTGTTTCTTGTGGTCCCTAGCTGTTTGCGGCTTTCTGATTGGCTAGTGTGCTGGAAAACATGTCATCGAACCAATTAGGAGGAGCCTTCTTGATCTTGACTAAAAAAGAGAAATCGAATCCTAACCCATGGATGAAAATACCAACGGTCTTGATTGTCTCTTCCCTCAATTTTTCATATTAGCCCTAGGATTCTTATCATCGTGTCTCGTTTTCTACCTTTTGCAATTTATTATTCTAAAAAAAACCATCTATTTTCATCTCTTCGACAGTTCGATGGACACAAATAAAAGGTCTGTTCACTTCTGCTTACAGCTGAAGCTGCTGCAGCTCTTGCTACATTGACGCGCAGCTGGGCTGTACCAGCAGCTGCAGCCGCAAAAACGGGCTGAAAATTTGTGACTTGATTATCTCAATAAAAATATGGGGTTTATGAACAGAATAAATTTAATAAATATTCAAACTAAATGAAATCACAGTACTATCATTAGTACAACGACGAACACTGTGTGTATGTATATACGGTAGGCTGAAGCGGGACACAATCACACAACTTTGCAGGATGGCTGGCAGCCGGGCACCGTGCCGTGCGTAACCCCGTTCCGACAAATAACAGCATTCCCAGGGGCGTACTCGCAAAAAGTGCAATAAATCCCGAGTCGTAGCACGGGACTGGAGCACCCAGTTCACGATCGCGAGGTCTGCGTCTCCGCCTGGGTCCAGCACTGGGATTTCCGCGCCTTCCACACACACACACACACCCAAGGACGCACGCAGGCCGCAATGGCGGAGCCCGAGGTCTCCCCCGCGGCGGCCGGCGGCGGCGGCCAGCTCCGCAACGTCTTCGGGGGCGTGCTCTGCGCCTTCACGCTCCTCCTCATCGGCGTCGTCGCGTTCTCGATCCGCCTCTTCTCCGTAAGATCCGCTTTGCCCCCCCGAGCCTCCAGATCCAGTTCGGTGCTCGCGAAGCGCTCATCCCCGAATTGTGTGTGCTCATGCGTTATGCCTGCTGGCGCGCAGGTAATCAAGTACGAGAGCGTGATCCACGAGTTCGACCCCTACTTCAACTTCCGCGTCACTCAGGTTTGATTGCTGGTTCCATTGGTTTAACGTTTTCCTTCTGTTCTGCAGTATGTGGAATTCAGCTCACTTCTGTAGGAGACTACGGTGGTATATTGATGCTGAGTTTCTGTGTTGGGAGGGTTTTGGGTTTTGGGAATTTACTCTTGTGCCCTGTCTGCTAGATTTAGTTTACTATGAGATAATTAGTGGAAGTATAAAGCAAGCGACACTCACTTGGAGGCATAAATTGTTGGTTGAAACAGTTATCTGTCACATCTGGTCTAAATTTCTCCTTGTTACAGTTTCTGTCGAAGAATGGAATTTACGAGTTCTGGAACTGGTTTGATGATAGGACATGGTAAGAGCAGCAGCTCCAATTTGTCAGTCATTTAGTACTGCACGATTTCTGTGTAAAAGGAATCATTTACTAGGCTGATTTCGTTGCTGCTGCTGCTGTTTTAGGTACCCCCTTGGCCGTGTGATTGGTGGCACTGTGTATCCTGGTTTGACATTGACTGCTGGAACTATTTGGTGGTATGCCATCAAGGGACACAATTTACAGTCTTACATTTACATTCTTCTGATTAGATGTGCCTAAAGTATTTGAATGGTCCACTAGGTTGCTGAACTCTCTCAACATCCCACTGTCTGTGGAGACAGTTTGTGTGTTCACAGCTCCAATTTTCTCAGCAAATGCATCCTGGGCTACTTACCTGTTAACAAAGGTTTGTTTTTCAACGAAGTGTGGATTATCACATTATTCTTACCCATTTGCAAATTGTGTGCTTACTTTGACTTCTGCGATAGGAAGCAAAGGGTACTGGAGCTGGATTAATGGCAGCAGCCATTTTGGCAATGGTAAATTAAACTAACGACTCCCCTACCAATTTTGACCATAATTAAAGAAAAGCTAAATTGGTACAAAACTTCCTTGGTTTATATATATTTAGCCATTTTCATGTCATGGTGGAAATAGAAATAAGGATTCTCTTTAATCAAACCAAATTTATTGTCAGTTCATTTCAGCTTTATAGTGTCCATGTACGGTTTAGGAAAGATAAGTGTTACAAGTTGCAATACTATTTATGATTGCTGATTTCTATATCCTAAACATATATTTCTAAAGTAAATGAGAAATATTATTGAATGACTCAATCTGTGTTTTGTTGAACCTGGGTACTTGACAATCGGTTTCCTCAGTTACTCAGGTTTGCAATATTTTTCTTTTTACAGGATTTTGTTAATGTTGCCGAATTGTAATGCTTCATTCAGATAACACCAAGATGTTAATTTCTAGCTAATCGCCCACTTCTTAGAACATTGTATTATCTATATATGTAGTCTTCCGTACTCTCCTAGTACCATATGATTAATCAGAATGTTCTCGACATCATCACAGGTTCCCTCATACATCTCAAGATCTGTTGCAGGCAGCTATGATAATGAAGCTGTAGCAATATTTGCCTTGATATTTACATTTTATCTATATGTAAAGGTAATGGTGCTCAAGATATGTTTTCCATTTTGCTTCTTTGACATATGCAATGCTCTGACTTGTTATGCATATACAGACGCTGAACACGGGATCGCTCTTTTATGCAACACTCAATGCTCTCTCATATTTCTACATGGTAAACATGTTGAATTTTGATCCACGTTTTTCGAATGTTCTTTGTAATCATATACTAGGCTTTTCTAGGTCTGCTCTTGGGGAGGCTACACATTCATTATCAATCTTATCCCAATGCATGTCCTCTTGTGCATTGTAACTGGTCGTTATTCTTCGCGGCTCTACATTGCATATGCTCCCCTTGTGAGTGCATAAGCTTCCTCTGGTTGGCACACTCTTCTTTACAGACTTTTTGTCCGGAACTGTAACTTACCAGATCCATGGATCATTCAGGTTATACTTGGAACGCTTCTGGCAGCATTAGTACCTGTGGTTGGTTTTAATGCAGTAATGACCTCTGAGCACTTCGCATCATTTCTGGTACCTATATGCCTTCTCCTTTCTTGATTTTTCTCCATTCCGCAGTACAATATTGTTGCCAACTCTTGCAAATG